CTTCCTCAAGGCTTCCTCACCATCACTCTTATGCGCAGATTAGTGAGGTGGGAGCGAGAACCCTCTAACTCTACAGCAGGCTCTCCTAACTGTAGCCTCTGTGGAACACAGGCGAAGGAGGGAACGGTAAGGGGAAGGCATGATACAATTCTGTATTACAAGTTCTTGTCAAAGAGTGATATTCTAACTGCAAAGGCTTCAAACAAGACTGGCAGATTCCCAAACACCACAGTCTGGGTCCTTCTATTCTACCAGCTAGTTCTCTAGGGTAATAGGACATAGATCTCGTCTCAATCTCAAAATGACCACCTAGCCTTCAGCAAGTCCATGTCTTATACCCAAGGATATATCTACCTAACTAGCCTCCTTCCCACCTGCAGTATTTAAGAGGACCCTGTGGATGGCTGCTTTGATCAGATCCCTAAGGTAATTCTTAACTGGGTCTCTCTGTTCTCCATTCCTCTTCTTGCCTTCCCTCCATCCTTTCCTCTTTCACCTCTCCCAAGAGGATGAGAGACCCATTCTTGTGATCTCTCCTGGGACTGTATCATATTCTTTCTGAATTGAGGGACCCAAGATCTCACCCATCTTGCCTCCCTCTCTAGGAACAGAAAACTGACTCGTGGAGACCAGAGAGCACAAGCAGCCTGCTGTGGGTCTGGTCTGAAAACCAAAGCCTTGGGGCCTCCACCTAATAAAACAGGCTCTTTGTCTTTCAGAAGACCATGCCCACTGTGACTGAAGGACCCCAATTCTGGAACCTTAGTGAGTGGGAGCCAGCCCAGGTATAGCCAGTTACCTCCTGTACCCTGAGACTGTCCTCAGGGGATGGAGGATACGGCTTGAGGAGTTAGGAAGAGGGAGGGAAGACAGAAAGCAGGCTTGAGGTGGGAAAGAGGGCTGGGGGAGGGGCCAAGGGTGGCAAGTGAAAGGACTACCCCAGCCTGCTGACGAGTGCAAATTATATTTATATATGTGCTAAATACAGTCACTATATTGGAGCTTTTCACTAGATCACAGCATACAGAATCAAAGGTTTGCATTTCGTATGGAATGTATCCAAAGAGGCCAGCACCACAGTAGGACAGCTTGCAATCACACACCCTGATAGTTTGGACGAAATAAAGTTCGCAGACTTTTATTTAAAATGGGTTTTTTGTTTGTTTGTTTGTTTTCGCAGTTGTCATCGTACCAATGCATGCAAAGCATTCCACTCCCAGAAACGACGCCAAAATGAGGTAATAGGAGCAATAAAAAACATTAGTATCCTTTCTAAATAAATAAATTATAATTAAAAATGCAAAACAACTATAAAAATAATTAAATAAGAACCCACGATATCTACAAGTTAGTCATAAATTATGATTGTTAAATATAAGGCATTTAAACTCACAAAACCCTGTAAACTAGCAACGTGCCATGTTTTTTTTTTCTTTTTTTGTTTTTCTATCAGCTGAAATCGCTCTAGCATTTGCTCTACGCGCGCGCAGGAGATGAAACACAAGGGGACCTGACAGACGTTGCTACAGCCCCACATGGGGAATGTTTGTCCCGCAGGCGGGGCGGCTTGGGGGATTTATTTCTTCAGGAAAAAAAAAAGTCTGGTGCTTTTTCTTCACCATTGAAAAAACTGTGCTTGTTCGGTAGGCGTAAAGAGTTAAGAATGCTTGCACGGAGGCTGGGGGCCTTTACAGAGAAGAGTTTGTGGCCTGTCACAGGTGGTGGCGAGGGGAGCTGGGGGACCTGGGGGCCTGGCCAGGTGGAGGAATGTGCAGCCCTTGCTGCCCTCTGCCTGTGTCCAGCTGGATTCGTGGCATTGGGTTGCTTGGTGTCCTAGATGGACCTGTTGCGCCATGGCTGCGGTTAGGAGGCCCAACTTGAACCCGGGGCCGCTGTCAAAGGCACTCATGCGTCTCAGTCAGTAAAGGGTCTGAGTCCCTTGAGTTGAGCAGGAGAACTATGGATGTCTCTCTCCTGGAGATGGTAGATGTGAGATGCTGAGGCCTGGCCCTGTCTCCTCTCCACTCTTCTCTGGCTCCCTGGCCTGTCTGGGGACCTGGAGCAGAGGCTTTGGCTTTCCTCCACCCAATCAGCGGTCCTGAAACAGGAACTGGGAGGGTTTAAGTGCTACTCCAGCCCCCACCGTCAGGGCATAAGGACCCTAGGTGGGAAGGGGATGGAGTGGCAGCATCAACCCCTTCCCTGCCCAGGTTCTAATGTTAGCCTGGGGGCATTCAAAGAGCCTGTACAAATGAGCAAGGAGAAACCATCCTACCCTCTCACTAAGCCTGCATGCCTCAGCCTCCGAAGCAGGTATGTGTGGGTACAGAAGGCCTCTCAGCAGCATGGGCAGCACACAGCTCTACAACTTGAAGGATGTGTTGATGTTAGAAAGAGTCACAGGATGTGTGTATTGGGAGAAATTTAGGCATCATCTAATCCAGCCTCTCCTTGTGTCACAGCTGAGGAAGCTGAGGCCCAGCAGGGCAAGGGTTGTGAATGGAGGGTCCAGCATCTCCCAGTTTGCCAGTGAAGAGCCAGGACTAGAACCAGGGACACTAGTTCCAGTTCCCTCCTGAGTTCCTGCCAGGCATGCAGACAGCCTCAAAGGCAAGAACAGAGAGTGAGCGGCCTCAGAGAGCAATGACCTACCTAGACCACCCCAACCAACTCTGAGCCACAGGCCATCTTCTGATGAAATCTTGGTTTTGACACAGCCATTGGGGAGGAGCGGTAGAGAATTCACAAGTTCTGGTGGCTTTTGGTCAGCAGCTCCCTGACATCCTGACTCAAACATTCTTGCTCCACCTGGTGGGTATCCAGCCTTTGCAATGGAGACATCATTCGTGCAACCAGAGTTGGAAAAGGTCACACTCAACAGGACTGACCTTCACTGTCACAGTGCTCACCATAAGCACCGTTGGGTGTGTGCTGGTTCCACCTATCATCTTATAATTCCACCAGGCAAAGACATCGCCTTAGTGATCATCTTCCTCAACACTTGCTCCAGTAGACATCCAGCAGAGATTTTAGGAGACAGCAGAAGATGGGTCCCAGGAGTAGCCTTCATCTGGATAATGGATTCCATTCCCTCATGATGCTGTGCTAGAAGGATCTCTCTCAAGTCCAGTTGTTCCTTGTCAATTTTGATCCTGATTCATCCTTGTGAAATTTTTTCCTTTATCCAATCAGCACCCTAGTTCCTTGATATGAGGGTACTGAGACTGGCTAGGGACTCAGGGGGGGAGAGATTCTGAGATTCTGAGATCAGGGCAAATGAAGGACGAGGAGGAGGGCCAGGGCAAAAGAAGGTTACAGGATGTCAGGTAACCTGACATTTTCTGCACATGATTAAGAGCTACACTTGGGTTAGAATTTGGCAGATTTTTCCCCACCTCCAATATTCTGTCCTCTCATCTCTCTGAAAAATTACGAGTGATACAGAAAGCATGTTGTAATATGGTGTCACTAGAATGTCCCATCTCCTTTTCCACTCCAATCACTAAACCCTCAGAGGCTGCCATGAGAGGATAGAGAACACACAATGGGCTGGATAGCGTTAATTCTCAGATCTGAGTGGAGTAGAAGGAATGTGGGGTATGGGGACACACTGTTGTCTCTCCCCACTGGAACTGAGGCACAGAGAAAGAAAGAGACTTTCCCAGAAGAATCAGAAGATCAAGGGGCTAGG